ATATATATATATATATATACATACCCAACAAATCTACATAAAAAAAAAAAATGCAACGACTTATATTGGAGAAAAAAGCATCTGGGCTGTTAAAAAACAACAGGGAACCACAAAGAAATAAATTTCTCAAATTTTTAACTGTTCTATTGATAAATCAAACCCATATAAAAACCAGTGTGTGTGTCACGTCACGCTTGATTTCTCGAAATAGAAGGAGTCATAGAAGCCAAAATTCAGTTATCCAGATACAATAGTTCGATTACTGTCTCTCATTACTATTTTAGTGAGGGCGTGCAAGGGGGCTGTGAGGGGGTATGTGCCGTGAAACCTTATATGTGTAGTGAGTGTTGGTATGATAAGCCTAAAGTAAAGACGTAGTGTGGGATTACCTAGCCTAGAGCCAAGTGCATAAAATTTATCATAAAAGTAAAAATATCGATTCAATTTTAAACTTAAATCGTTTCTGAGTTAAGCTATTAATAAAAAACAAACTTATTTAATCAACGGAGACTCTAAATTAAGAAATCATCAAATATTTTTCCAGTTATGTTGTCTGTACATTTCATTTTATACTTTCAGTACATAGACTAACAACAATATTAGGTTATACTTTTGTTGCTAAGCAACATGACATAAAAGCCATTGTTGGAGCGTAATGTTACCAAAACACACTGGCTTTTCGATACATTATAAGTTGTTAATCTAACTGATTTTTATCAATAATTGTTCTATGAATACGCCATGAATTCATTTCATGAATGATCTTAATTTTGATAGGATCAAAAAGGAATTTACCGACGTACGACTGCCTCGATTGCACTTTTCTACCTCTTTGTTGGTCAAGTTTGATTTCGCAAAATTTATTTATTTCAGTTAGCTATGAAATGTGACGTTAGGATAAACTATAGGGTGGGGATGGCAGTACTTGACCCGCCATTGTTGACGGTTTATACGCTAGTATATGTTAAAGTACAGAGTGAGCTTTACAATACAACGTTAAATTATTACATAACATGCATAAGATGAAAATAGCATGCAAAAACTAATGTCATACTTTGACAAAAGTATAGGTCACCCTTACTTGAGGATTTTGGGTGCCCATCCTTTTGCTTATTTATAGCTTATTGTTTTTATGTACTTTAAAACCAGTTTCTGGCATCTTTTCTGAGATATTCGTACCCATTCTTATAGAGTTTTGAGTTCTGCAATCGTGTTTTGTTTCCTTTATGATACTGCTACTTTCAAGTCAATCCACATATCGATAGGATTTAGTCTGCGTTCTGAGATGGCGAATCTATAACTGTAATTCTCTTTTTTTTCAGAAATTCCTTTGTAGACTTTGCAGAATGCTTAAGGTCATTACTCTCTTGGAAATCAAGCTTCAATCCAATAAGCTTTTTAGCAACAAATTACAATACAAAATGTCATGATTTTTTGCAGTATTCATTGATTTTTACAATACTAAGGTCGCCAGTGCCTCCGCCATGTTTAACACTGGGCATGAGTAGTTTTTCTTTAAATTCTTTTCTTCACTTCCTCCCGAAATATTGTTGCTTTCTTAGTGAAACGCTTTCTTTGATTGAAGAAATCATCAGACTTCTTCAAGTATTCATTTGAATACTCCAATCACTTTCTCTTACGTATTGTTTTAATAAAGGTTTCCATATTGGTTTTTGAACATGGACATTCACGTTGTTAAGGTATTGTTGAATTGTTCGCTCGTGAATTTCTTGACCATGTTCTCTCCGTTGTTGTGTCAAGTCTTTTGCAGGAATCAGAAGATTTTTTTCTAGCTGATTGAACAATTCCTCTTCCAGATTTTACAAAAATCTTGCTTGGTCTCCCACCGTAAACTTACTTCATCCGTGTTTTTGCTTTTCCATAAACCCAATCCTTGTATAATTTTTCTAGTAGTTACTACGTTTTAATTTACTTTTATCTCTACCATTTTGAGATCGTTGCTGCACTCTTTAGTTTTGACTATTTTAGCTGTTTTTTCGGAACATAAATTTCCAATTCATTTTTAGAATTTAATGATTATGTACTTATTTATTCTACAATTATTATCAGGTATTGGTTTTCAATCACGATACTTGTGAATTATTAGCAATGGATGGTTTCATAAGACATATGTTGATTGTCCAACTACTTTTGTCCACAACTGTATGTTCTAAGGGATAAAAATAACCCTGCGTTATGTGAATAAAATTAATCATCTGTGATTATAGAGCTAATAAATATTTATTCATATATCAGGTATTAGAAGGTAGTCATAAAAGGCAATATAAGTTTTTATGGGTGTTTGCGTTTTGTTTTTTTTACAATTACATATAAGGGAAGCAACTTTTCATGTCCTAAGATAACCTTTCATTAATCATGAATTTACATAACTTTTGTCCAGAGGACGGGTACTGTATAGAACATAATTTGATTGCTTCTATATAATAAACATAAAAAAATACAATTTTAAGTATTATGTATAGAAAAAATATAAGAATTTATCATACTTCAAATAATAGATTGTAAAATTAAAGGTTTAATTTTATATTGAAAGCACATATATACTGTGTTTTTGTAACTTTTTAAATATTGTCTTTGATTTTAAATTACAAAGTAAGTTGAGTAGTTTGGCAAGCTTAGAGAGTGATTGATGATACTAATTAAATAGAGGGCTCAACAAGAGTTTAGGTTTTACTCTGTACAACTTTTTTTATACCCTGTTGTTACAAAAACTGTTATTGTTTTATATTCTTAAGAGAAACCACGCAGAAAAGTGTTTTCCTAAAAACATGTTGTTATAAAACTGTTATTGTTTTAAATTTTTTATAAAGGAACTACGCATAAAAGTCTTAGAATTCATATTATCATTTCCGCCAGTAATGTAAAAAATAACAGTTTTGTCACAACAGGTTTAAAAAAAAAACACAAAAAAGTGTTAGAATTCATATTATTATCGGAAATAATTATTTTTAAATGTTTGTTCGTAATATATCATATTCATAGAATACTTGAAAACAGTATGTCTTTCTTTTCAGTATTACTACCTTTATGCAGTCGACAGGTATTGTTACATGAAAAGTGAGATTTTGATCTCTTCTGTTTAAAAATAGCTAAACATCGGCCCTCTGTTCAAGTAATAACCGGGCAAAGCCAGGCAAGGTGACTAGTAAGGAAATAAGGTTTTAACTGCAGTATATTTCAATTTGAAAAAAATAGTCGATAGATCTGGATTAGTTATTCCAGGATACTTGGGGCAACAATTTTAGAGCCAAAAGACCTGAATAATACAGGATAGCTGTGGTAATAGTTTTAAATACAATTGATCTGAGTCATTGAATACGTAATAGTTGTGGCAACATATTACATATAATATATCTGAACCGGTTAACATATAATAATTGTGGCAACAGTTTAGACACAATGGTTATGAATCAGCTAACACATAATAGATATGCTAACAGTTTAAAACATTTAAAATATGAATTAGAACAGAATAGTTGTGGCACCAGATTTAAATGCACCAGGTCTAATATCTATTAAAGAATAGTTGTAGTATAACAGCTTTATATGTAACAGAACTGAATTATAACAGTATAGTTGAGGTAACAGATTTACATGCAACAAAACTTACTCAGTCAGTACAGGAAAATGTTGTTTGCAACAACACCTTTCGGTTTTAAAGTTAAATAACGCAATTTCTCTAGCAGTAAAAGCGTGCTGTGACATCGCTAATAAAGATCACAACTAATACAGTAATTAATGAAATTGCTTTAATATATTATATATAGTTTTAAACTTCTGATATTTCGATAAATCACAAGAAATGTATACCTCTTTGAACTCTTGCACCTGGTGCTGTGTAAACATGGCGAAAACATTAGAACCAGTCCTCTGGGCTCTTTTTTTTGTAGATCCTTTGGCAGCGGGAGCTGCGGTCGGTTTTGGTTCTTCTGCAGGGGCAGGTTCTGGTTCTGGGGCTGGCTCATCCTTCTTCTTACTTTTCTTCTTTTTCTCTTTTTTATCATCAGCCTTGACAAATAAGAAAAATAGTTTTTAATACAAAAAATATTTATTCCCTGAGAATCCTTGCAAATCCGAAAAAAAAATCATTATGCATAAATCGTTCTATTATAAAACATTTTTCTACAAAGCTGTTATTTAATGTTTGTCCAAAGGTGCTAAAGGCAATTCTAAGAGGTTTCTGTTTCGTGTTACTACTGTAAGAGATTATAGAAAACTGATTAATGTAATATTAGAAGATGTAGCTCAACAGAGTAGAACAATCAATAGAACAACCAGCACATACATATTGTCCTACTTCTTTTCTCTTGAAGAAGTTTCAGAAAATAAAAATATATTTGTCTCATGTTTTTAAAAAAGAGGTAGTATTTCAGTTATATAACCGACTTATCTTAATTTTCACTTTCAGACATGAAGAAATTTTAATCTGACAAAATTCCAGGTGGAACGTACGTAAAATGTATAACAGTCTTTGTTTGTTCTTGTAGAATTTCGCGCAAAGCTATTCTAGGGCTATTTTCGCTAGCCCTCCCTAATTTAGAAGTGGTATACAAGAGGGAAGGCAGCTAGTTAACATCACCCACCACCAACTCTTGGGCTACTCTTTACTAAAGAAAAGTGGAATTGATCGTCACATTATGACGCCTCCAAGGTTGAAAGAGCGAGTATGTTCGGCGACGAAATTCGAACCCACGACCTGCAGATTATAGATCGAACGCCCCAATCACCATGCCATGCCAGGCCGTGCCTAACACTGTTCGTGCACCTCAGGGTTTAAAAGCTTAAGATATTATTCCAATGACAAACTATAGAATGAATTCCATTGATCTATTTAAAATGTTATGTATAAATAATTTATTTGTAGAGATTTTTATTTCAAAGAAATAATAGGCTATGTCTAGGCACAATCCATGCCATATTTTTTATTGTTTATGAAATTCTGGTGAGCAGTATTTTTTTATTATTGGTATTAGCTATTTTGCATTACGTCCGGATTCAGCTGGAATACCATCACGCAGTTAGAATAAATTTTGCTCGACCTATGTATCTACATCTAATGCTAAAGGAATGTGAAGAAGATAATTTTAGTAACGCCCAAAAAGGTGAAGTCATAAGCCAACTTTTACTGACGTAATCCATATGTATTTTCAGGCGTTATTTTAGGATCTTTCCTTGAGTGCTATTTGAAGATTTTAGTTTCTAAATACTTTTCTGGCACTTTTTCTGTTTTGAGAGATATTTACACCTGTAAAAAATACTGGCCAAGACATGATAAACACATATTTTGCGGTTAAAAGTTAATTGAAACAAGAAAAGGAAGATTTAATTAGAGATTTTTTATCTCTCTTATATCTGGTTACTAAAATGTTTAGAATATATTCAAGTTAAGTACGATTTTTATTTTTATTTCATTAAAGGCGTTGTACAATATCAAACTTACAAAAAACACCAAATATCACTGTAGATGTTAAATTTCCTGAAAACAATTTTTCTAAAGATTGTTTGTTTTTAATTATGCACAAAGCTACACAAGGGCTATCTGTGCTTTGCCCACCACGGGTGTCGAAACCCGGATTCTAGCGTTGTAAGTCCGCAGACATACCGCTGTGCCGCTGGGGGGCTTTTCTAAAGATAAATTATAAATTTATAAAATAAGTCAGAACTTGTAGTAATTATACTATTATCATAAGACCTAATGTCTAACTCCGAGATAGTTTCTAAAAAAGAAAACTGAGAAAGTAAAAAATAGACATTTCATTTCCTAAGTTCGTTCACTAAAGTCGAAGATTCCCTGAACTAAATATATATATATTTGAACGTGTCCCTGTAATTTAACGTTAATAAATCGAGGTTTGAACTCTGCGGCGGATATAGAGTTTCGCTAAGCAAAAATAAACAAACTTGAAATACGAGTTATTTGTCTTTAAAACCTAAAAGCTAATTAGATAAACACCAATGTAGGTTTTCAAACGTTTGGCGTAAAGAATAATTTGTTTTGTTTGTTGCTAAGCAACAGGTCATCTGTGCTTTGCCCACCGCAGGTATTGATACCCGAATTTTAAAGTTATAATTCCTCAAACTTATCGATGAGCCACCAGAGGAGCTTAAAGAAGGAAAAATAGTGCATAGTTATCTGGCACTCCAAAGCAGGCAACATATTTTTTCAATTAGACATAAGCTATATGACATATCCAACTATTATTATAAATGCAACAGATTTGTTTCTAATTCTCACACTTTTCAAAATGCATTCAGAAAATCAACTCCACAGAAAAAGAAGCAGTAGTGTCACATTATAACAAAATATGTAATAGCACTGAACATCTGAACTGTAACATTATCAAATACAGATTTTTTACTTTACTATTATAATACACTAACATATGCATTGATAGTCTGGACTTTATCATCTTCATAATACGCTGTAGTCAGATATTGAGAGCTGAAACTTATTTTAAAAATTATACACGTTCTCTAATAATTGAAAATCTGGTATTTATTATTATCAAAATACTCTCTACACGAAGTTAAAATAGTCTGATTTATCAATACAATGTACATAAACTTCATGGGTCTAGACTTTATGATTGCCATAATGCACTGACATAAGCTTCAAGGATCTAGACTTTATGATTGTCATAATACAGTGTAAGTAAACTTCAAGGGTCTAAACTTTATAAGTGTCATAATATACTGTAAGTAAACTTCAAGGATCTAGACTTTATGGTTCTCATAATACAGTGTAAGTAAACTTCAAGGGTCTAAACTTTATAAGTGTCATAATTTATGTACATAAGAGTTGAAAGCCTGGGCTTTATCTTTATCATAATACTCTGTACATAAACATTAAATGTTTGTAATTTATTATTATCAAGATATAATGCACAAAAATGTTAATTGTCTGGCCTATACAATTAACATTGAATATTCTGTAAATACATAATTAGCCTCTCTGGATCACCATCATAACATACTATTAATGAACGTTGAGTGTCTGAACAATGCTATTATTATACATACTATTACATTGTAATATACTGTTAAATAACATTGAACAACTGAACTGTGCCTTATCACAACATACTGTTCATACACATTGGGTATCTGAACAGTAGATCATTATACAATGTTGTTAATAAGTATTAAGTACCTGAAATGTGTCATTGTTATAACATACTGCTAATAGACGTTGCTTATCTGAATTGTGACATTGTTATAATACATTCATTACAATATCCATAAACTTTGAGAATCTGGACTATATCAGTATTATAATACCATGTATATAAAAATCGATATGGAGTCTGATATGGATCATTATCATAATATACCATATATAAACTTAGACTATACCGTTATGGAAAAACAATGTTCATAATCCAATCTACTCTAATGCAGAACATAAATCTATAAACTGTATCGAACTGTTACTGTAATACACTCTGCATAAACCAAAAATGTTTGAAATTTATCACTATCATTTCATTTTATGCATAAATGTAAAGTGTACACTTTCGTAATACAAAGCGTATACTCTGTAGTAATTATAACAGAATTGAAAGTTTTGAAAATAGTTTAAAATTCGTGATATTGAACAATAAAAGGGCATTTCGAACAATGTATTTAAACAGAGTAATGATCATTTTAATTTTCTATAATTTTGTTCCTGAAAGTATTTTTAATGGAAACTGCTGTTAAAATCTTGACGTGACTTACGACAGTGGTGAATAATTATTGCTGAGAAGTTTTAACTGTAGTTTTGTGAAAATTATAAAATTGTTCAATACTTCTTAAGCCGACCCAATGTTTTAGTTAACGAAATAAATTTCAAATAATTTCACGTATCTATAATAAATTAAAGCATGTGAAAATAACAAATTACCAAGTTTTTCATAAGTGTTTAACAAACTTTAAACGATTTCCGTGCGATGACAATGACGGATGACATTGAGAGAAAATATGGTCACTTACCATTATGAAAGGATAGACGATATCAAGGTGCCAGACAAGAGGAGAATCAAGGTGGTTCTGCTTTCCACACCTCTCCAATAGACCTTATACCAGTGTGACGTCAGAATAAAGGTCCAATACTGTTGTATGAGGTCACTTGGGAAATATATGTATGGAGTAAAGAACCAATAATACAACATCATAAAGATGCTTTCGCTCCTTTTCTGAACCTTTTCCGCCATGACGTACATGACGCTTCTGGGAACCTGGCCAACAATAAAGAAGGACGTATAGTTTGTTTAATGGTTTCTAATGCACTGACTAATATGCTTTGTAAAAAGCTTTCTGTTGTGACTATAAATTTATTGTAGTCAATTGTCTTTTTCCTAGAACGTCTGTTGTTCATTGCAAAAGTCCCCCGATGGAACAGTGGTAAGTTTCTGGACTTACAACGCTAAAATTTGGGGTTTGATCCCTCGCGGTGGACACAGCAAATAGCCTAAAATAAAACAACCAATCAAATTACTGCAAAAAAAGGAGAGAGAAGAAACATGTGGATCTCTCTATTTGAAAATGGATAGATTTCATCAAATATATTATGAGGAACACTGCTAGAATTTCTTTTACAGTACTGCTTTTCTTCCAATTGAATGAGGTTGCGACCACGATTCACTAGTTTCCTCACAGGTAAAAGTTGACGAATATTGTGTCTGTTTGCTAGCAACTCAGACACTAAAGTTTTAATAAATGATAAATAATTGTAAAAGTATAGAATCTTTTTACTACAGTTTAGACATTCAATATACGCCTCCCTGTGGGTCAGCGATAAGTTTATGGAATTACAACGCTAAAATCTGGAGTTCGATTCCCCTTGATAGACAGATCGCAGAGAGTCTATTGTGTAGCTTTGCACTAAAACAAATAAATCAAACTAATCAATATACTGGGAGGCATATATCTACAAAATTAGAATATTCATAGAACCCAGACGCTTATTTTTATTGGGAGCTGTATAACTTTAAAGGAAAAGTATTATAAACTGAATAAGAATCCAGACAATCAATTTATACTTGGAGCTTTGTAACTAGAAAAGCAAAGAACCGATTGACTAAGAATTCAAACATGTCACTTCTGGTGAAAGCTTATAAGCTAGACGTTAAAGTTTAGTAAAAATTCTAACACTTTCTGTTTATATCTGTGCATCAAAAAGTATTACTTACATTTTACTAGTAGTTAGGACGATCAGTTACTTTTGGTATTTAGATATTTAGAATGGTTTTCTATCCTTATACTAACAACTCTAAAATTTACTTTCTGTTGTAGCTATAAGAATAAGTAATGATTCCTTTTGTTCAGAGTTTAAGTGCTCATTTGTAACTGATATTTACTTATAAGAGTTATAACTTATAAGAGTTAAGGTGTTTGTCTATTTTGTTATTAGGCACAAAGAAACACAACGAGCCATCTGTGCTATGCCCATCGCGGGTATCGAAACCCGATTTTAACGTTCTAAGCCCTCATACTTGCCGCTGAGCCACCGGGGAGCTAAGGTGACCGTGTCAACGCTATAGAAAACGTGGGGTGCTTGTACTTGCAGAATCTAAAAAAATATTTTGATGAAAAACTGCTAAATTCGAGATGTATTTAAGGATTTCTGTAAATCGTTTCCTACATATATATTAGTAAAACATACCAGTGTGTGTGAATATTGCTTTGAGATAAGTCAATGGGCACCAAAAAAATCTTAAGGGACAGAAATAATCAGTATGACTAAAATTAGTGGTTCAAAACTTGTGTTTATTTGTAATTAAACACAAAGCTACACAATGGGCTATCTGTACTCTGCCCACCATGGGTATCGAAACCCGGATTCTAGCGTTGTAAGTCCGCAGACATACTGCTGTGCCACTGGAGGGCGTTGAATATGCACCACAAGGAAACATCTTCCATTTTAGAAAGCCAACTAAATTTCATTAGCTTTCTCAAAATGAAATAAAAATTAATGTATGTATCTAAACTGTTTCACTAAACTTGACAGACCACAATAAAAGCGATCATAATCTGAAAATATCTGTAAAATTCTTCTAACTGAAGAGACGTGGCTGTTTGTTTGTTTGTAATTAAGCACAAAGCTACACAATGGGCTATCTGTGCTCTGCCCACCACGGGTATCGAAACCCGGAAGACGTGACAGAAAAGAGTCAGATAGACCTTATTCTGTAATTTCGTTATGTTAGCATTAAATAATTATTTTTTTTTAATCGTTGCGCAATAAAGTATTTAATCTAACAGAATCTGTCAATCCCTTTATATTTAAACCAGGCTTTCTAGAAAATCCCAGGATAGAACAATAATAAAAATCGTATGTTGTTTATTTGTGACAACTGAAATAAAACTGTATAGGTTTTTTTTTTTGCAAAAAAAAAAGAATATCGAAATGATCTAAAACAGTCAGTTTTATAAGACTAACTAAGACATTTCTGTAATTGTACCAGAATACTATCAAACCTATTGGAATATATGTTTGTTGTAGTTACAGGAAGTACATTATTTAGATACTATCAAAACTATTAGTATCTTTATACGTCTGTAATTACAGGAAGTACATTGTTTAGATACTATCAAAACTATTAGAATCTTTATACGTCTGTAATTACAGGAAGTACATTATTTAGATACTATCAAAACTATTAGAATCTTTATACGTCTGTAATTACAGGAAGTACATTGTTTAGATACTATCAAAACTATTAGAATCTTTGTACGTCTGTAATTATAGGAATTACATTGTTTAGGTACTATCAAAACTATTAGTATCTTTATACGTCTGTAATTACAGAAAGTACATTGTTTAGATACTATCAAACTATTAGAATCTTTGTACGTATGTAATTATAGGAAGTACATTGTTTAAATACCATCAAAACTATAAGAATCTTTGTACGTCTGTAATTATAGGAAGTACATTGTTTGATAAGTCGCGGATGACATTCTTCACATAGATTTGATTATGCCAATCTGTGAAAACTTGTATTAACCTGTATCGTTAATTGTGGACAGTGGAAATTTGTTATTTCGTGAATATTTAAATTAAATTGTCTTTTTTAGCCTTAGGTGAAGACCGTCACAGCAATCAGTATCTAGTCTGTTTCCGGACGTTGAAAATAAACTGTCTTGCAGATTGTGACAGAAAGCCACAACCAGTAAACTATTTTTATCTCAGTCGAATTGTTTACCTTGTTATAGTGTATATTAAAGGTATGGTTTTTACATGACTTAAGAAAGATTAGCTAAGGACTGAGATGAACAAATGCCAAGTATATAGCTAAAAGCATCATTATTTAACTAGTAAGCTGTTATTCAAGCACCCTCGAGAGTAAAATAAGGTTAGATTCTAGTGAAAACGTCGGTTGCCAAAAACTATCTTTATGGCCGTGATCAGAGACGCTCTTAAATCTGGCAGAAAAGGTGTATAAACACGTGATGCAAAGTGCAAAGAGGCAGTGCAAAATGAAAAATAAATTACAAAATTTACTGTTTTGTGAAGTTTACATTAGCAAAATCGTTGTGGTTTTCACGATGTTATAACAATACATGATCGTCTAATAAAGTTAAAAAGTTTAATAATATTGTTACCTATCTGATTGTTTGTTGATTTCCGGTGTAAATTATTTCCGAAAAACTTCAACTATACAAGTCCTTTCTTGATTAACCCAGTTTATTCTTCCTCGATACAAACTTTTAATACATAGTAATTTCACAGTGAGTACGTACCTCGTAAACTTAACAACTTTTATAACACACGCTATAAATCACAGTGATTCTCACACTTTACTTACAGTG